AAATGTTGAGCAAAATTGTTTAAAAGAGGTAGAAGTATAACCAGGGGCATTATCTGTTTTTAACTGTTTTGGAACACCCACAGTGGCAAAATTTTGTAAGCAATGAGCTATAACATCTTTAGTTTTTTCTCCGGAATGAAGGGAGCCCATCAAAAATCCAGAAGAAGTATCAACTGTAACATGCAAATATTTTAATTTTCCAAATTCTGGCAAGTGTGTGACGTCCATCTGCCAAATATGGTTAGGTATCAATCCTCTAGGATTGACTCCAAGATTAACTTGTGGTAAAAAGGTCACACAATTTTGACATTGTTTTATTATTTGTCTAGCTTGTTCCTTAGTTATTTTAAAACGCTTTTGTAAAGTATTAGCATTGACATGGAACTTTTTATGAAAATTTATAGCTTCTTCTAGTGTAGAGAAAATATGTATGTCATGTGTAGTTTTATCTGCTAAATCATTGCCCAAACTAAGGGCTCCAGGCAATCCTGTATGTGCCCTGATATGTCCTATAAAGAATGGATCTTTTCTGTCCCAGATTAGACTTTGTATAGTGGAAAGCAAAGAGAAAACAGTAGAAGAAGGGGAAATCCTACCAGCATCTTCAAGAGATACTATAGCATTAACTACATACTGACTATCAGAAAATAAATTAAATACGGAATCTTTAAACATCACAAAAGCTTGTAAAACTGCATTAAGCTCTACCTTTTGAGCTGATTGTTTGGGTACTAAAAATGTAAAAGTTTGATCAGGGGTAACTACTGCTGCTGTACCATTATTTGACCCATCAGTGAATATATTTGGAGCATTCATGATAGGTGTTTTTCTTGTCATTTTTGGAAAAATTACAGGATGCAATGACCAAAAAGACAATAAAGGATTAGATGGTGTGTGGCTATAATACTGTATAGCAGGGGATAAAGAATTGTATAAAATGAAATCAGCTTTAAAACCTGTTTTAAGACAATTTATTAGAGCAAAGGCAATGAGATGTCAGGGTAGTAAAAAGGAAGGTGGGGTGGCCCTAGTGAAGGACCAAAGACAAAGTAAGTAATAGCTACACTGCTGACATTTCATTACATTCTGATAAAGACTGTATGCCTGATAACCTAGTGGTAATTCATAAGTTTAGTAATTTTGCAATATTTTTAGGAAACATATAATATTAATATGCTTTTAGTAAGGCATTATAAGAGTGATATGATTACTATAATCCTTTAAAAAAAGCCTTGGTCCATTTCAAAAGATCAACAATAAATTTTTAAAAATCAAGAGGAAAGAAAAATAAGTTGTATGCCCACCCCAAATACATAAGAACCACTTGCTGGCATTTGTTTTGTATTTTAAAGGCCTGGAATAAAATTGGCCAGATTTTCAAAGGCAATTAATAACTTGTACAAGGACTCGATTCATTTGATTTTAGCACCAAGGAAAATAAGAGTCAGTATCTCATGGAAGACACAGTGGGGTTTTCCTCTACCTCTCAAATTGCACAACTTTTACCAAGCCAGGATATATAACCATGCATCCTTGTTGCCCTGCTACGGAGTCTAAAATGATTTAAATTTTAAAATGGCTGTTCAGATGACACCTACAGAGTTTTTTCCCTTTAAGACAGGATCACAATCAATGAATGCTATTAAGTATCAATTTCTTTGATCAAGAACAAAAATCTTCTTTAAGGAATAGTTACTTTCCTGGTCCTTCTTAACCTATGTTGTAAATTCTCTATTGCAATATGCGTTTGCCATTTATGTTGGGTGTTAGTCAAGTGAACATCCTCCAGGTATGCCTGATCTATTTCTATTTCCTTAACGATAAAGTATGCTTACTTTACATAGTACCATGGGTTTTCTCTTTTCTTTATTTTTTCTTTTTGCTATAACTTGTTTATCAAGGCATAGTGTATGTTTAGATCAAGAAAAAACTGACAAGTATATCTTAAACATACATTTCTTAACCTCAGTAACATCTGAAAACCTAAGATGTTATTAAATTTTCCATTGACAAGTCAGTGTTGGTGCTTACCTAAGAACTTAAAATGTCAATTTTTGACACAAATAATGTCCCTCGGTACACATGTATTTTTCAAAAGAAAATAAGTCATACTAAAGTAATATTTTCTTGTATGCTGACATTTTTATAGCAAATTGAAAATTCTGAGTAAACTGAAGGTATTTCTAATGACAAAATAAATGTAGTATATGTAGCTAGCTTATATGTTTCTTAGTGTAAAGGGAGCAGTGAATTTGCATCTTGCAATGGATCTGTAAATCTAGTTGCTTTTTTCTGGAATTTCATATAGTGTCTTACCATACCATGTTCCATGGGGCTAGAAAACATTTTTTGGCATCAGTCTATGCAGAAGCCTCTGATGAGGTATTTTCCCCAAATGACATGTACTTTTCCAGCTTTCCCAGAAAAATACAAAAATTTTATCAACCACTTTTACTGAACAAAAATGTTACTACTAATTGCTCTTTTAACTTTTACTCTAACAAATTCTTTAAAAATTTTTTGATATCTCTGATGTTTTTGAATTGCACACTCATAGACTATAACTGGATAAAATATACTAGATGATATCAAAAGATCAATCTTAGTATCTGAATCATTTGGCACATCCTTCATAATATCCAGGATAAAATCAGTAGAAATAAAACAATTTTCAAAGAATTCATACATGCTGGAATCTTAGTAAAAGGAGCTGCTAATGCAAAGATGAGGAGGTTCTGCTCATCTTACTAGTTACACGCTTTTCTCCTCATGGATTAACTGAGGCTTTCTGGTTTGTTTGTGGAACTTTTGTTTGTAGGAAAGTATATACATAGGACCATATCTTGTTGGTTTCCGTTCCAGAAAATGTTTCCAACACCCCTTTTTTCTAATAATACTCCAGAACTGGCTCCATTTGTGCTTCATAAGCCTCAGTCTCTTGATCACTGTCTCTGGTCTATCATCCTCATGCTGAATCAGAGGCTCTCCAGTCAGACCATCTATGCCCACAGTTTTGGGAGGGTTGAATTTAATGTTGTAGACTCGGTCACTGGCTGGATGAATCCAGCGAGCAGTGAGGCGGTGTTTAATGACCTCAAAGGGCACATTCAGATCGATTACTGTGTCTATCTGATAAACCTTATCCAGGACTTCTGCCTGTGGAAGTGTCCTTGGAAAACCATCCAATAGCCAGTTACATTGGGTGAAATTTTTCAGCTCATGCAGGGCTAGCCGAGTCATGACATCATCTGGGATGAGCTTCCCTTGGTCAGTGAAAGTCTTGGCTAACACACCAATCTCTGTGCCTTGAAGCATGTTTTGTCAGAGCAGGTCCTCGCTGGAGAGGTGCTTCAGCTCGAAGTGTTTGGTGATGCACGGGGACACGGTGCCCTTGCCACGGTGCCTTTGTCGGAGCCAGGAGTCCCCATGATCACTGTGTGCACTAGCTGCGTGGAAGCCCCCATGGCCGCTGACAGAGGACCTGGTAGGGCGGACAGTGCTCACCCGCTTCGCGGCCCAGGATGGCCCGCTGGAAGTGCTGCAAGCAGGCGGCAGCCCGGCACCCACGCTCTCTGTCTTTTGGATTTTTAAAACAAAGTCTTTACAGGGTTTCCCCAGAAAAACTGGATTTTACCTGTTGCCTTCTGGTAATTTACAAATATTCTGAACTATGGCTTTTGCTCATTTTCATTCTTTTACACACTCCCCATCCACTCTGTGTCTTACAAAAATTTGTTAAAATGTCTTATTTGCGATTGTCTTCCCAGACCATTCTGTTTACTAATGTGTTTATACGTGATTTTATACTTCTTTGCTGTCAGAGAAAGAGATTGAAATAAGTTTGTGCTTGGTCTATTGTCCTGAAATAAAAGCATCCCTCTTCCAGATCATTCCCAATTTGGTCATTCCACCTAAAGCATTCAACATAAACTGTGTTACTAAGTCCAGCATACACATCTTTGTCTCTACCTTTCTAGATCTTACAGTAGTCTGTACACAGTTAACCACTCCCTCTCTGTTTCCTTATTACTACCTTCATATAATATTCTTACTTTCCGGCTGTTCCATTTTAGTCTGCACTGCTGGCTTCCCACTCCTTTACCAGACTCTAAATGTTGAGTTTCTCATGTCTTGGTGCTTCTTTCTTTTCTCATTCTACTCTTGTTCTTTTATCTCTTTACTTCTCATGACTTGTATATCATTTATATACAAGTGACTTCTAGTTTTGTATCTTGGCCCAGAAGCCTCTTTTGAATTTTCAGCTGCTGCTATTGCTGCTGCTTTTCTTTTTAGTACCAGGAATTGAATGCATGGGTACTTAACCTCTGAGCCACATTCCAAGCCCTTTTTATTTTTTTACTTTTTTGAGACAGGGTCTCATTAAGTTGCTTAAGGTCTCAAAAAGTTGTTGATGCTGAATTTGAACTTGGAGTCCTCCTGCCTCAGCCTCCTGGGTCTCTGGGTTTATAGCCATGAACCACCACACCTGACTGTAAAGCTTCTTAAATTTAGCACTTTCAGAGCTGAATTCTGATTATTTCCCTTTCCCCAAGTCTACCTTCTTACTTCTCCATCTCAGTAAATGGCATCACCATCAAATCTTGCCATCTTGATATGTTTCTATCACTCTTAACTTCTAGTTTACAACACTCATTTCTTGCTAAAAACAGTTAAGTCATTCAAAAGTCAAACCCTTCTATTGAAAGACTTCTTTAACTATCATGATGGGCTAATGAGTTGATTATAGCACCAATTTATTTGAAAATAATACATGTTTATTATTTTTAAATTTTTATCTATAGTATTGAGGAGAACTGTTCAAACTCGTCCTGCTCCACGAATTCCTCCAACTGTGGAAATCATTGAGAAGGAACAAAATTGGGAAAAGACTTTACCTATTGATACAGACATCCAGAATTCAAGTGAAGAGAGTCGTCTTTTCACTCAGAGGTGGAGAGTCTCTCACATGGGAGAAGATTTAGAGAATAAAATTCAGACCCCTTTTGTTAACTTTTCACAGAACCTCTGCAATTTCCATCCCAACACTCAGCAATCAAGAAATCTTGCCTTCTCAGAAGAGCCCTCAGTACAAGGAAATGGGCAACAGCTTAGAACAAATGAGGCATCATTGGTACAAAGAAAGGACATAATGGCACGAATTGCTGAGTTAACACTGCAGAATTCAGCCATCAAGACACAGCTAAATAATATTACTTGTCCAGTGGGAGAGCAAGGGGATGGACTACGGGAATTGAATAAACAGGAAAGTGCAGGCGATGTGACTGCTGTGAGTACCACTTACACATTAACAGGGGACATGTAGGGATTTAGGCTTGGGCATCTTAAAGAGGTTTTTTTTTCAGAAGTGATTCTGGATAGCTTTTAGGCAGTCACTAGATAGCTTATGCTTTGGCATGTTCTCTTCACAAGATAGTTAAAAGATACTGATTAGTTTATATTGAACATAGAAGACAACGTGAAAGAAAAAATACATGAATGAAGAAAATAGGACTAAGGTAAAATGTGTAGGAAAGCTAAAATTATACTAAAAATAAGGTTTTTAAGTATAAAATATATAGAATTAATATGACTTGAAAGATGCTATACAACTACATTTTACTGAAACTATTTTGACTCTTAAAATAGCTTATAAAAGAGTAATTGGCTTTCCATTTATGACCAGCCAATTTTTTTAAGATATAACATGAATGTGCTGAAATGATGTTAAAGGATCATTAAAGTCAGTGTTTAATGTGCATATGACTCGTGGCGTGGGGGGGGGGGTCTTGCTTAAATGTGGTTTCTGTATGAGCAGGACTAGGGTAGGACCTGTGAATTTCTAATAAGTTTCTAAATGATGCTAATGCTGCCAGTCCAGGTGTTCTATTTTGAGAAGCAAAATTCTGCATGTTATAGTACAGGAATTTTATAAGTAAAATAAACTTCATGGGCTAACCTGTAACTTAAACCTTCATTTCATCATTTGTGGGGAGAAAAGGGACTCTTAAGTTCCAGCTGGGAGTGTTTATAACACACCTTCTTGTACAGTTCCCCATGATAACATATATTTTGTTTTATCAATTTTTGAGCCAAAGTATCTTCTATGTGGGTTCTAATGGGAGCAGTACAATGTTTTTTGCATTGGGAAGGACATAAGCATCCTTATTATGAATTAGGGACTCCTGAGGTGGCTGTGTCTGTGTTTTAAAAGTAATGGATTGAGGGCTTTGGTGGGCAAGGAAGGGAGAGGTGAGTGTAGGGGCCACATCTGACATCCCTGGCTCATGGGGAATAAGGAGAATGTGGAACTGAGCCACAGAAGAAGTAGTCAGAGCTGGGGTTGGTGGTGCACATCTAGAATCCCAGATGAGGTAGGAGGATTGCAAATTTAAGACCAGCCTCAGCAATGCAATTTAGGCTCTAAGCAACTTAGTGATGACTCTTTCTCAAAAAAATAAAAAGAGGTGGGCACGTAGTGCAGTGGTAAAACACCCTTAAGTTTAATCTCCAGTACTAACAACAACAATAACCAAAACAAAAAAAGTAGTCAGAAGTGACTGGTAGATGAGGAGCCAGAAAGGGGTTTTAGGAATAGGAAGTAGCCATTGGTACAGGTCTAAGAACAAACTGCCTCAATTTTGAGTAATTGTTTGCAGAGTTTTGAAGATTATTTGAAATAGGTAACTCTTGGTTTAAAAATGATAGCACAGTTATATATTGAGCCTGTGTCCTTTCCTATTTAGAATATACATCAGTCTAGAAAAGACAATCTATTATTGTTGCCCACACCACCTTCTTTTGTTTTAATTGAAAATACAACGTGATCTTTAATCATGCTGATTTACTTATTATTTTTTTAAACTAATAGACAAGCTAAAATTTAGGAAATTCTATTAGGGATTGCTTTTTCCCAAAGGAAAGTATTTAATTAAGTGACATTATTGTGAAATTATTGTGAATGATATAAATATACTTCTCTTGGGAGTTTTCAGATTGAACTTAATGTTACATTCCTTTCCAATTACAACTATTCTTGAATCAGTTATCCTAAGCTAAAAGTGGTCAGAAGGAGTAACTGGGTTCTCAGAATCTTTGTCAAATAATTCACTTTGCGTGTTTGAAGATTGTAATTGTAGAAACAGCTGTTTCAAATAAAGCAGATCCTCCTTTGTAATGTGTCCAACTTCAGATCTGTCATCAATAGGTGTGTGGCATTTAGCTTACTAGGAGTTATCTCTTTGCTCATGTGATTTCTTGTGCAGCTCAGCAAATACTAAGAGATGCAGGGAAGCTTTGTCAAACAGACTGTGTGTTCAGACATAGGTACTGGAGGAGGGTATATGTGGTAATAGTAGTAGGAGGTTTAGCATCCTTTTACTTTAGTCCTAATTCTTCAATTAAAGGATTTGTAAATTCTATTGCTTTCCCACTATTCACATTTGTATATAGCAAGGCTAAGAACATTAACTGGCTTACACTTGACAGAAAAATTAAAATAGTGTGGATTTTTTTTTTCCATGTTGAATTTATACCTTTTTTTTTTTTTCTTTTTCCCCCAAAGACTTTTCCAGTAGCACAATCTCTAGCACCCAGTAGCATGGAGGAACGGATTGCAGAATTGAATCGACAGAGTATGGAGGCTCGGGGGAAACTACTACAGTTGATAGAACAGCAGAAGCTTGTTGGTTTGAATCTCTCCTCTCCAGCAGTATCACCTGTTCAGTCGCCTCGCAGAGCATGGACTGGTTGGTCACACATTCATGATTTATAAACTAGAAATAGGAAGGTTTTTACTTTACTAATTTTACAAGTTTGTATTGAACCAAAAGAAATCTTCAGTTTCATACCAAAAGAAACAGGCTTGTTTGTGTCAGAGTGTAAGTGACAGAGATAGGACTAGAAAGCAGGTCTCCTGATCTTCTTCAGCTCATTTGATCTTTGGTGTTTGAGTTCCTAAGTTGCTCTACTTCTAGATGAGATTCATTATGGTATAAGATTCACTTAGCACATACACTGTAGCTAATTATAAAATATAAGCATCAAAATTATAACTTAAAATTTCATTAACATCAGATTACAAATTAATGTTCTGTTAAAACCATTAAAACATTTTCATTTGTTAATTTAAAAACTTTCGGTTCTCTTGTTACATTTAGGAATGTGAAAAGCTAGAGGGAACTCTGAATAATAGAATAGTAATTTAAAAAGTTATCATAGCATTCCCATTGAAAAATGATACTGAGGAAATGAAGTAGATCTCAAGTTGGTTTTTAGCCAGAATTTCATTTAAGACCCTGAAGGAATGGAGCTACTTGAAGAGCATAGAGGATGATTTAGGTCCAGAATAAGAGAAGATTCTAATTATCAGGAATAGAAAAAGCTCTATCAGTGAAGTGCTCCCTAAGGTGTGCAAACAGGTGTTTTAGAGGACTCATTTGTCTTATGCTAGATTGAAATAGGTTACCTTTAGGGCATCTGCCAGTAAGAATTTTTGCCTCAATTATAAATTATTTCTTTTTGAAATAATTTTCTAGAAAAGCAGATTTTCTGGAAAGTACTGGAAAATGATGAGTAATGCATTTCCCAGGGTCCTTCCTCTTTCTCTAGGCTTCTTCACATGTCAGCCTTGTATTCTAGTCTTTATAGTTTTGAAGTCTAAAACCAAATTTTGATTAGAATAAACAAACTTTTCAAACTACTATGTGCCTGCCACTTGGGTCTTGAATATTCAGATATTCAAGTTGGGGAACAGGCAACAAACAAACAACTAAATAAGTGAGATAATGTCAGTACTGAGTACAATGAAGAAACATAAAGCAGATCACTTTTAAGAATAATTTTGTGATTAAATATGACATCTTTGTCTTATAATTCTATAAGGTTAAAAATGCCTTTATTATCTCATCTAGAACTCAACACGGCTTAAGTGTAGATAGGGCTGTTATTATGCCAATTTAATAAGTAAGCTGAAGTACACAAAGTTTAAGTGATCTGTCTGAAGTTCGCAAATTGTGGATTTGTGTCTGTGTTCTTTTCATTCCAGTGATTATATCTCAGGTGTTTGTTTTTTTTTTTTTGGTAAGTAAAATTCTTAGTTGCATAGGAATCTCTGGGATATCCTGATAAAAATAAGAATAAATAATTATGCCATGAAAAAAGAAGTTTGATTTTTTTTAGGGAAACTAAGGAACATTTTATAAAATAAAATAGGGCTTTTTATTACCTCTTAATGCCATGAAATCACTGGTTTTAAGTATTGGTTCACAGGAGCCTCTCTGAAACTGCCTGGGATGGACATAAAGTCTTTCACCAGTAAATATGTAATAAATGTTTGTTAATCGAGAACCTACTTTTGAAATATTGAAAATGTACATTAATTATACTTACTTTTGGCAGTATGAGCTTCTCAGTCAGTTTCCGCCCTCCAATGTTAGTGTTGTCAACAACCATAATACTGTTATAAATTTAAAAGATTGAAATTTTTACTAAATGATTTCAGAAATTTTTTTTCCCTTTTTCTTTCTTTTTTAGGAAAATTTTTTTTAAAAAAAGCTCTTTTTGAAAAAGATCTCAAATTCTTTAGGGCTAGCTTTTCTGTTTTTTGCTTCCAGATCTGACATGATACCATGTGTCTGAAGATTCTGGCTCTCCATGAACTGACATGCTCCTGAATTGACACTGTAACTAAGTTTCTTGTCTCACAGCTCATTTAAAAAAAAAAAAAAAATCTTTCAAGTGTGTACCTGTGGGGCATAGTGATAAGAATGTGGAAAGAAATTCCCAAATGTTAATAACATTTGGAAAAAAAATCTTTTTTTTTTTCTTTTGAGTGTACCAGGGATTGAACTCAGGGGCACTCAACCACTGAGCCTCATCCCCTACTCTGTTTTGCATTTTGTTTAGAGACAGGGTTGCTTAGCACCTTGCTTTTGCTGAGGCTGGCTTTGAACTTGCAATTTTCCCATCTTAGCCTCCCAAGCCACTGGGACTATAGGCATGCACCACCATGCCTGGCAGAATTGAGAAAAATTTTTATTTTACCTTATTGAAAGTTAATGAAAATAGTATTTACTTTTATATTTTAGAAGGAGGGAAGAGGACCATTGAGGTATCTATTCCAGGAGCAGAAGCCCCAGAAAATACAAAATGTGATACTATCTCTCCTCTCAGTGGGATAAGTACAAGAAGGTAAGTTACTGCATGAATAGTTACTTTGAAAAAATTAAGAATGTGGTTTGTGTTTTATTCTCTTTGTGAGAAAAGGATGTGTATAATATGTGGCTTAAGTTCAGACTCACTCATGTAGAGCAAGTAAAGTAACTAAAGAGAATTTGGGGGCAATAAAATGAATGAGGAATAAACTTTTAATTAAGTAGATCATGGGTTGGCTACTGAAAACAAACATGGGCTTACACATATGTAGAGTATTTATGAGTTATGATTTAGGAGGTATATATGAAGGTAATATATGACAGGGTGGTTAAATTAAACAGTAGTATCTTCCTCCTTTATAGTGGGTGAAACTGAAGCTCACAGAGCTAATTGGGTGGGTTGCCTAGATGGGCCCGATGGTTGGTAATTGGTGACACAGAAAGTCTTCTGTCTCTACTCCACATCTTCACTATTGTACTGTACTGCTTCTGTTCTCATTGCTCTTTACTGTTTTGGCCTTCTTCCCCTCCACTGCACAACAATTTTTCATCTTTAGTGTTAAAAACTTATTTGTATATTATTGTAATAGCATATACATGTCATTATACAGTTGTCAAAATCCACAGAATGTACTATACAAATAGTAAACCTCATGTAAATTATGGATTTTAGTTAATATCTTATCAATATCAGTTGTAACGATAGATGTGCCACATTAATGCTACATTCTAATAATAGAGGAAACTGTGTTTGTTGGAAGTGGGGTGAGGATGGTACTTGGCAGCTTTGTATTTTCCACTCAATCTTTTTGTAAACCTAAAGCTGCTGTAAAAAAATAAATTCCATTAGTTAAGGAAAAAAGGAGTTATATGTTGGTGATATTATGTTATAAATAACTTACCTTATTTGAACCTAAGTTATTCATTCCTTTTCAAGTTTTTGTCAGGATTGAGAATTGTTATTGTTTTCATAATTTATTAAGTTTATTAATAATATCTCACTCTCTGTCACTTTATTTTTCATAAATAGATCTTCAGGGGCAACTAGTAACTCTTGTTCTCCTTTAAATGCCACCTCAGGAAGTGGGCGATTCACACCTGTTCTTCCAAGAACAAAGGTAAATTATAAAATGTCTTTGTAAAATACATGTAGGGATCAAGAGTGAGGGTAGAAGATGACTAATTTTGCTGTTTTCCAATCTCAGTTGTCATTTCTGTTATCCTAAAGATGATATAAATTCTCAGAAGAAATTCTATAATTTACCTTTATTAGAAAAACAACAAACCATATATTTGTTTTGCTTTCCAGGGTAACTAAGGAATAAGATAAAATTCAATAGGATTTCAACAGTCCTTAAAGACTGGATATTACTGATTTCAGGTAGAGCTTCCCAAATATTGTAGAAGGACATCCAGGTGTGCCTTGAATGGGTTGTGGGTACACCAGAATATTGGTTCCCCAGTTGTTCCTGTGTCTAGGTAGAATATGGTATAACAGAGACCTGGTTCAGGCACTTAACGAGCCATATCTGAGTGTGATCCTAGTTAAACAGGTTATGGTTCAAAAGATAAATAAATGTTTTATGTAGTCTTCATGTTTCAGTTTACTACAGGAATGTTTAGAAGCTTGAATTTTTACAAAAGGTGTTTTTATTTTTCTGTGTTGATAATGCAGTAAAATATAGTTCCTTTCAGTGTTTAGTCATGGAAAATTATGAGATAGTCTTTAAAATTATAAAAATGACTTTTGCTGACTTGAGCCAACAACTGTCTATGGGGGGAATCTTTGTTTTTATTAACTTCAGTAATCAGAACAAAGAATGGATGCTTACAGCCCCCACATTGATTGATAGGCTTAGCTACCACAGTTGCCTAGCACTAAAATTTTTGTCTTTTTCTATTATATTCTAAAAAAGTTTTAAAATTAACTATTTTACGTAATTTATTCTTATTAGTTTCTGGAACTTAGTAACACTTAATTTACTAAGATGAAATAACCTTTTAAAAAATAATTAAAATTATAACCAAGATTCACATAAAATATTAGACTTAACTTTTTTTAAAAATGAGAACTCTTGGGGCTGGGGTTGTAACTCAGTGGTAGAGCTCTTGCTCACTCTATGTGTGAGGCACTGGGTTCAATCCTCAGCACCACATAAAAAATAAATAAAATAAAGGTATCATGTCCATCTACAACTTAAAAAAATACTTCTTATTTTTAAAAAAATGAGGACTCCTAAATCAATAAGGAGGTCTGTTGATCAGTGGTCAGTTATTTGGTGGTGAATAAAAATTGCCAATAATAATTTAATTTCTAGTACCATTTAATGACTTTGTTGTATATACTTGTTCTAAATGATCTGTATATCTTGAGTTGTCTCATGTTTCTGGTTATCTTCTAAATCTTTTCTGTATCTTTGTTCAACAGATTGAGAAACAAAATGAAGAAGGCTGGTTTGCTCTTTCTACTCATGTGTCATAAGTGAGGTTGAAATTGCATTTTACGGAGTTTGTACTCAGTAATTTATTCTTGGCCTTCCACAGTCCTTTCCCTGCTCCTGCTTTCAAGTTTTTATGTACTTCTTCAGATTAAACCTACAGAGATCCTGTGAATTGATACTAATACAACAGAGAAAATTTTATTTTAATTTTTTAGCTTTTCAAATAGATTTTCAACAGCCAGCCAATGTATAATTCCCTGTGAATAAAATTTTGATTGTAGGGAAATTAAAGTTTTATTTTCTAATAACTTCTTAAGTACTTTAAGGTTTTTTGTTTTTTTAAGCAATTCATTTTTACCTGGTACTATCATCTTGAATCCGATTTTGTTGTTGTTTACTGAAGCTTAAATGTTGATATATTTCATTTTTCTTTTTCTTGAAGAAATTAGTTGCTTTGCATGTAACATACAATAGGATGCTTCTATTAGAATCTGGCATTGAGAAAATGTAACACTTTCTTTTGGTTTCTTTTTTGGTGGGAATATATTGCTGTCTATCACCTTTTACAAGTGGAATAGACAGCTTTTTAAAATAGGTATGGGAAGGCTGAGGATGTGGCTCAGTGGTAGAGTGCTTGCCTACCATGTGGGAAACCCTGAGTTTGAGCCCCAGCACCACAAAACATTTAAAAAACAGAATTAAAAAAAAAAAAAATAGGTATGAAAGTGTTTGTATTTGCTTAAGCAGGTAAGACTGGATGTATTATTTAATTTTTAAAAGTGAAAAATCAATAATGATAATGTACATAAAATAAATAATGATCATAGAGCTCAAATGTCTAAAGGTAGAAACATTGATTCAATGGTCTATTTAGTGTTTGAAACAGAATTAAATAAAAACACTTGTCATTAATTTTCTTACCCCAGAATCCAAGCAGATTCATTCAGAATAGGTTTTTCTTTCAGGCACCTGTTTGGTTCTCAAATATTGGTTTCTGTTTTCAACTTGAGTGAAGTGGGACCAGGGAAGGGCAGCACATTGAAACTACCAGGGGAATTTTCTCTGACAACACCTTTCTGCCCTCTGAATTGTAAATCTCTGTCCTAGGAATTGCCCCATGCAACTTTTTACCTGGACCTTTTTATTGTTATGGCAAAAATAAAATTATTTTCTGAAGCACTATGGATTTATTTATGTGATGTCATCTGTATTAATTTGCATTATTGCAGATTATTCCATCATTTGCACATTTTGAAACTCGGTAATTAATTATATACCTGTCAGTGACATAAGCCATTTTAGTGTTACTCTTTATCAAAATGATCTGCTTGCTTCATGAATATATTCTTTTTAAAAAATATGTTTATTGGTATATTTTTGTTATGCATAATGATGGTATTTGTTGTAAATTCATATATACACACAATATAATAATACAATTTGGCCAGACATTCCCCAGTACTTCTCCCCTCCCTCCCTACCTCTTGCCCCCTGATCCTTTTCCTCTACTGATCTCCCTTTCACTTTTCATGAGATCCCTGCCCCCCACCCACCTTACTTTTCCTTTTTCCTCTATTCCACATATGAGAGAAAAACATATGACCCTTGACTTTCTGAGTTTGGCTTATTTCACTCAACATACTTGTCTTTAGTTTCATCCATTTTCCTCTAAATGACATAATTTCATTTTTCTTTAGGGCTGAATAAAACTTGTATGTATATATATATATATATATATATATATATATATATATATATTATATATTATCACATTTTCTTTATCAATTCATCTGTTGGTGGATACTTAGGCTGGTTCCATAGTTTGGCTATTGTGAATTGTGCTACTATAAACATAGGTATGCATCTATCACAACAGTATGATTGATGACTTTATTTCTTTAGGATAAATACTAAAGAGCATGGATAGCTGAGTCATTTGGTAGTTCCATGACCATTCTTTTGAGGAACTGATTTCCATGGTGGTTGTGCCAATTTACAATCCCACCAAAAAAAAAAAAAAAAAAAGTATAAAAGTGTTTTTGTTTTTCTCCACATCCTCTCCAGCATTTATTATTATTTGTGTTCTTGATGACTTCCATCATGAATGCATTCTTTTGATATGGATTTCCCTTAATGTTTTCCAACTGATTAGCACTTATTTTAAACCCGAAAAGCCATTGTTCTCAATTTGGGAAGCATTTTAAAAATACCAAATGACACCTGTGAGTAGAGCCTATATGCTTAGTTTCCATCACCCCTGAAGTAGGAGCCCAAAACATAAGATCTTATCCACTCCTTTAAATAGCCCATAGAGATAATACAAGTAGGGTTTAAAAACAAAACTCACAGGCACACACTCACCCGCCCCAGGGATTTATCTCTGCTATTGATGCTGCGGGCAAACCTCCTTCTGTCGTCCTAGGAGCCCCCCGTCCTGCCTTTACACATTTATTTTTAATTGGTAAATAATAGTCTAGGACCCTTAAATTCGAAATTAAAATTTACCAACACAGACCGCTGTTCAATCGAGGCCCCTTTAGGCCATTTTGGAATAGGGGGCAGTTATTTTCGAACGTTTCAAAAGTCATTGGTCAACATGACACCCTTTGGGAGTTAATTGGTAGAATGCCGGGCTTATCTGTCTTGCTTTGAGCCAACCTGCGGCGAAACACTTTCCTTTACTGAACTGGGCTGCCTACAGCAGCGCGCGGAAACTCGCCCTAAGCCTGTCACTGGACAGCGCATGCACCTTTAGGTCGGCCCGGGGGCGAGGCGGGGGCGTTGCCATAGTAACTACAGTAAACGAAGGCCTTGTGTGGGTGCAAGGGAGAAAACAGCAGCAGCGGTGAGGACCTCGGGTGGTAAGTTTGTACGACAAACTGCTGCTCCCAGGACTTTTCCCTAAAATTACTTAGCGACCTGCAATGCAGAAGTCCAAGCCCCACTTGGACTTCTTTTACGCTGAACAAGTGTTTTCCAGGTTTTGCTGAAACACGTTCCTTGGTCTTTCCTGCGGTAGAGCAACAAACATTTGACACCCCGTGGGAAGGAGCTCGCAATCTGGCCTTGAGAAAGCCTAGCAGGCAACAGCAGTAAGGGTTAGACTAGGCTAAGCCAGAAGCATCGAATCTGGTGAAATCTAAGGACTCTGGGGTCCAAGCAAAGTCATCTCTCCCCATACACATCTGTGTGTGATACTTGGCAAATTGACCCCTCTGCCCTTCACTTTTCTCCTCTGTATAGAGAAAGATGGTAATGCTTACCTCATGGGCTTCTTGTTATAAATAGGATAATGCAGGCTAAGTGCTTAGCACCAGCCCAGCACATAGTGGGTGCACCACAGACACTTGCTGAATTAATACCAAAAAAAAAAAAAAAAAATAGTAGCAGTGTGTTTAGTCATGAGTTGTTCTGGGTGCTTACTGACTGAAACTTTTTTATGTTTAACCATATTTTATTATTTCTATTCTCCCTTCTTCCTTTTTTCGTTCTTATTAAAACACCTACTAAATTTGAGTGCATAAATATTTAAGCCATGGTGACATCTACTAAATACTGGAATTTATATATGTAGTCTATAGGACTATTTTGCCATATTTCCTTTATGCACTAGCATTTTTCACTTCATATTTTATTTTATTTATTCTTTTGCAGTACTGGAGGATCAAATTACATCCCCACCGTTTTATTTTTTCAAATTTTAATACAGGATTCCACTGAATTGCTGAGGCTATCCTCAAACTTACAAATCCTCCTGCCTCAGCCTCCCAATTAGTTGTGATTACAGATGTGCATCAGTGGCTCATTTTTTAAAACCTTTGAGAAGCTAGCAAGAGATGAGGGAGAGAGAAAGCAAGGGGAGAGGAACCACCTATAGATCCTATGTGGAAGGACATTTAAGTCATGCCAAGTAATCTGAATTCTTATTTTACGACAATGAAGAGCCATTAAAGATTTTAAACAAGAAGAGTGGCACATTAAAAGCTGTGTTTCAGAAATTCAAGAGGCAGTATAGAAAGTGGATTAGAGAACAGAGAGTCAAAGAGATGTAGTGGTGATAAATGGTAGGGGTCAGACACAATGCGTATCAACTCTAGCAGTGACAGTGGGACTAGAAGGGAGTGGATGAATTCAAAGGACTTACCAACCAGACCCTTGGTAAATCAACTGCATAAGTTGGGCGAAAGGCAAGAGTAACTACTCTGAAATCAGAGTGATGTCACCTTGTGGAGCACTCAACAACACACTTCTCTGCACCATTGAGTATTGTTATTTCTTTTTTTTTCTTTACTCTTTCTTGGGTTGACTCAAAACTGGGTGGTCTAATGAGGTGGTAATAAGAATGGTCTGTGGGCTGAAAACCAATAAACCTGAATCTAATGAAAAAAATTGATGGTCATTCTGCAAATAGACTCTCAAACCTTGCTAGTAGAGTTGAATAAGATAGGACATAGTGTAGAACACACAAATAAAGTTGTATTTATTCTAGTTACAAACTGATTTTGATGAATCAGTATATGATAATCCTGTCTCCTGTCCCCATCCCCGACTAATATAATTTTAGATGCCTTGAAGTAATACAATGGACGTTCTTAGCAGATGAGGTGATTAGATAAGTGATAGTTCCTCTCTTCTGGAAAGTGTCCAGAATTTATAAAAGTAAGATACAAAATTGGGAGGGATATATTATGCATTGGGAATGTACTTGAGATTATATAGTGAGAAAAGTTAGAATCATGTCATTGAGGAATAATTGAAAGAATTGGGATGTTTAGCTGAGAAAGGGGATCTAGGGAGAAATGAGACCACCTAGAATTATTTGAATGGCTCTAGCATCTACAAAGATTTGTTTTTTATATTTACAGAAAAAAATAAAACAAGGTCCAAATGACTCCAAGCTGTAGGGAGGCAGATTTCAGCTTAATTTAAAATTTAAAAAAATTATGGTACCAGGGATCGAATCCAGGGTCACTCTACCACTGAGCAACATCCCTAGCCCTTTTTATTTTTTATTTTGAGGCACAGGTTCTTGCTAAGTTGTCAAAACTGGCCTCAGACTTGTGATCCTCTTTCCTCAGCCTCCTGAGTAACTGGAATTACAGACATGCACCACTGTGCCTGGAAAATTTTAGCTTAATTTAAAATATACTAGGAACTAGAGCTGAGTGTCAATAGAATGTGCTCACCCTCTTACCTGAAATATTTAAATATTAAATATTTAAATTGAAGCCAACTGACTGCTGCTTAAAATGTTCCTTCATTTGTTCATTTATTCAGGAAGATATTAATACATTCATTCCCTCAACCATTTTACATATGAGTGCTTATGTGCCACTTAAAGTTTTACTCTGTTGACAACCTAAGATGTCAAAACAGTCTTATGAAGTAGGTACTGCATTTTATGAAATTCTGAGACAAAGAGAGGTTAAATATTTGTTTAACAACCAGGATTTAAACTTAACCAGGATTTAAACTTCACCAGACTGATTGTAGCCAATATTCCCAACCTGCTGCTTAAAATGTTCCTTCATTTGTTCATTTATTCAGGAAGATATTAATAAATTCATTCCCTCAACAATTTTACATACTGAGTGCTTATGTGCCACTTAAAGTTTTACTCTGTTGACAACCTGAGATTTCAAAACAGTCTTATG